ACACAGCGGGTTGCTCCAGCCCGGCAAGGCCTGCCACTGGTGATGCAGTAGGCTGGAACACTCATGGCCTTCAAGCCCAGACATGCCCACTGCACTGCACGGGGGAATGGAGGCTGCTCCAGCCCAGCCAGTCTGCTGGTTAACTATAACTGGTAAGCATCACTCTGTAAGTGCGATGCTTGTTTATTGGTTAACTGGCTAACCATTCATATTCCTAATGTAGAGCTGATTCTGCCATCTTAATTCATGGAAGAGTAGTATTTTGCTCTGCAAATAGCTGCCACTGAAATCAAATGGTTTCTTGCAGAGGAAAGTGCTTCTCAGAGCCAGTAAGGGTGGCAGAATCTGGCTTTGGGGAATTTGTCTGGCTGTCTGAATTAATAGAATAGTGTTTATTGCTTGGGGGGTTGAAGAATAGGAAACCTGCTGCAAAGGAAGACATAAGGCATAGCAACACTGGGAACTGGATGTGTGAAGGTTTCAAAGGACCAGCTCTGTGCATGAAAGCCCTTCGCCTTTTACACAGAGGCAGTATGATCAGTGAATTCCAGACAGGTAGGTGAAAAAGGAGACTACTGGATATGAATATATTGTGCAGGAGCAGGAGCCTATTAGAATGTCACAGGAAAGGAAAAGAATATTGAAAGGGAAAGAATTTTTATTTACACTATTCTGATATTGACACACAAGCTATGATTTAGTTCCTTTCAGAAGTGTGGAAAGGTCCATTTTTATGTTTCCCCCCTTAGTCTGGCATAAACCATACATTGTTATTTAATCTCTGTCATGCTTACAAGGATCTACCTATCCCTTTTAACAATATACCAAAATATATGTGATCAAAGAAATCTAAAATATTGACTTCAAGCTGAGTTCTGCCACCCTTATTCATGCTGAATAGTATTCAACTCAATGAATGCATTGTATGACTTGTGAAGTAAGATTCCATTTTAGCCAGAGTAAACATGTCAGAATCAGTAATAGTTCATATTATACCTAGAGTTGTTCAAATATATTTTTCTTCCATACAAATGTGGTCGGTTCAGCTGAAGTTCTCTAAACATTTCAGTCAACCCAAAAATGCATTTCACACAAGAAAAAAAAGTTTTGCGCCCTAAATGTCATGTAGCACTCTTTCTATATTTTGGATTTCAAAATACTCTCAATATTTAAGGAGAATTTTCCAAAAATATAATTTATGTTAATAGAGTACAATAACATTTAAGATATGATCAATAATAATTCTGAAGTTATTTTTAAAAGCTATGTGTGTTGATATATAAGTAAAATTATTCTGCAGAAATAGGCAAACCACTTGCATCTTCTTTAAAGATGTCAAACTGATAAATAAGATAAGTGAATTGACGTGCCATCTAGAGAAAGCCTTTGTGATACAGGCCTTGTCTTCTTAGCTGCATAAAATATCTGTTCTCTAACTAGAAGAAAGTATAATAATCACCACAACAACACTAGTTACTTATGTGTAGCATAATCAGCACACTTCCAACTCCCACTCAGTTCACACTCACTTTTTGCTATGTTTATCTATCAAATTACACTTTTTAGTTACTTATAATGTCACATTGATAGTAATGGCAACCAGACTTTCCAAATGACACAATGAAAATTAGACTTATAGGCCAGGACTGCAGCTGCCATAAATAGTCACAGTAGAGTTACACTGAATTATATCAGCTGCGAAGCTAGCCAGTACAATGTTGGCCTTTCTGCATTTTTTTCTTTCAACTTGCTTAAGTCAAATGAAAATCCAAAGTCAAAATTATATTTTCTGTGTCATCTTTAATACTGACATATTGGGAAAGAAAAGTTGTTTAGATTTCTCTTTTTATAATTTTATTTATTGTAATAAGTTTATGTAACCCCCTTTGTCCTCTTGGGGTTACTCGGGAACAGGTCACACTCATAGGTGTGCCTGGGTGCCTGATGGTTTTAACATAAAAGGAGATCCTGAGTACCCCAGTGGTGGTGGTGTTTAGTTGGGGATTCCCTATCCACTCCCTTGCTGCAGTCCCTGGCTCAAAAAGAGTATACAATGGTGGTGCCTCCATCTGGCTGGCTCTGTACACACTTAATGGTGTGCCTTGGGAGCCTCCAGGAATAACATTATTCCAACAATAATCTAGATCTAACTCCAGGTAAACAATGATAAATTATAAATAATATACATCTAATTGACTACATTAGAATGAACACACCTTTACTTAACTTAAAGAAACAGGGTTTAACAGATTAACAGAGAATAAAATTAACAAAGTACACAGAAATCATAGGAACTTATCTATCTGGCATTTTCACTGCCACCATTTATTCCACTCCAGAGAGTGCACTCCTCTGGACTCAGAGACCCAGACACTTGTGTGGATGCACTTGAAGGTCTGCAGCTGGAGGGTCTCTGTAGGTTCTGCGTGTATTGGATCAAGCTGTGCAGCTAGCTGCAAACTCCTTCTGCCACTGAAGCAGGCTCCATCAAATGCCAACAGCTCTGGTTCATTGGTTTGGACACTCTGCCTCTCTTTGGACCCAGAGTTAGTTTATATCTCTGTGGTCTGTCCCAGGCAGCACTTTCCCAAAAAGCCCATTTACTTACAGTCTCCTCCTGTGTGGTGGTTTTTGTGTAGTCCTTCTCAGTCACAGGCACAGCCAGAGTCTTTCCCCTCAAGGGCAATCAGCAGCTCCTCAAGCAGCCTGCTAGATCCAAACGCTGCAGACTTTCAGTCCGACTGTAGCTCAAACACAACAGCTCCTGGACCGGATATAAAGCTTTTTCACAGCAACCTGGCTCCCCTCCCCCAAAATGGAGAGCCCCAGACTGCTGAGCCCCTCTCTCAACATGCCCAGACAAGCCCTCTCTTCCTTGTTTCCTCAAGGGCTCATGGGAGTTGTAATCTCTAGGGCTAGATTGCAGCACACAGGATCCTCCCAAAAAAAGTCAGAGGCACTTTTACTAAGGGAATTACATTTAAGTTTTCTATCATAACTACACAGCTTATAGTAACACATAATGTTACATTTTAATTTTGTAAATATCATATTTGGAAATAACCATGTTGCACAAGAAAACTAAATCCATTCAGCTAGGCCTTGCAATTGCAATGTGATCTGAAGATGGACAAATTTATACCAGCTCAACAGTGTCCTAAAGAATGCTCGACTTCCAAGCCTTCCTAATCCCTAATTCCCACGTATAGACTCTTAACATGACCATCCTAACTAAACTTAATTGCAAAGGATTTTATAAATCAAAGTTCACACATTGAATTGCACCTGGAGACCCTTAGGTAGGCAGTAGCCTGTGAAGCATATGTATGTTATAATCTACATAAGTCTTGTCATTAAATGAGCACACTGCGACATTGTGCACTAGATTAAGTTTCCAGATTGTTTTTAAGGTTATCATCAGATGAAATGCAGTATAATAGTCCAGTCTAGAACTAACTGTTGTGATGTCTGCAATGGTCATGGTCAATTAGCCAAACTCTTACCTCTTTTGTGCTTATTTATTATTTTTATCTGCTCTCCAGATGTGTACAAGGGTCTAAAATCAGTCTCATACTCCCCAAACTCTCATAACATAAAATAGATATATTGGGTCAAATTCTCCAGTTCACTGAGGCCATTTTGTGCCACCAATATGCTTTGCAGAAGTGACCTTAAAATGCTCAAAGTTAGCTGGTGGAAAATTGCCCAGGTACAGGGGAATTCCCTGCTGATGGAAATGATTGCCATCTGCTGTGCCAAGCACAAGCACCACAAATGGATGAAGGAGGTGTATTCCGAGAGTAGGGTGAGGAACAGGTGTGGCCTCACAGAGCTCCACTATGCCATATTTTCCACTGACCTAACTTAGTGCTGCTCCTGTATCATTTCAACTGACTACCTGACTATCTTCAACTGACTACTTGTCTACCTTCCCCTGTCCTGTTCTTTCAATGGAGAGAGCAGACATCGTCTCCAAATAAAAGGAGCCCTTTTTATGGTTTGCGTTATTGTGTGAGCTATTCAGAAAGTCAGTTTGCATGGATATTTCAACTCACTTCTTGATCTTCCACTAATGCTATTTCCTTTTCATTGTATCACTCCCATGCCCTTTGGACTTTCTTTCTTTTCTCTGAGTTATTCTCAGTTAAGCACCTTTCCAACCCCCCTTCTCAAGAAATTGTTCCCCTCCCCTTGTTTTTAGTTAATAATCTGTACTGAAGATTGATTGTTTTATTATTATGACCATTTATTTTTACTGTTTTATTTTAGTTTTTAATTTTATCACTAAAGTTATACATCATTCCGCATAACCCCAGTAATGAAATCCTTCATTCAGTCAGATGGTTACAAAACGGCTGTGTCTACACTGGGCCACTTATTCCAGAAAATCAGCTGCTTTTCCGGAATAAGCTGCGAGCTGTCTACACTGGCCCTTGAATTTCTGGAAAAGCAACGATGGTCTACTGTACAAAATCAGCCGCTATTCCGGAAAAACTATTCTGCTCCCGCTCGGGCATAAGTCCTTATTCTGGAACACTGTTCCGGAAAAGGGCCAGTGTAGACAGCCCAGTAGT